GGACATGGGAGAGGGGGAGGTGAGGGGAAAGGTAGTGGTGTTAACAAACCCAGGGACAAGGGAACAACAAGTGATCCAAATCGGTGGTGAGGAGGGTGTGGGAGTCCTGGTAGGGCATGATCAAGGGTAATGTAACCAAGAGGAATTGCTGAAACCCTGGTGGGACAGGAGGAAAGTCAAAGGAAATAGAGAAAAGACCTGGGAGGCAAAATGCATTTACAGAGGTCTAGATAAAGGCATGTACGTATGCAAATATATTTATATATGAGGATGAGGAAATAGATCTATGTGCATATATTTATGGGTTTAGTATTAAGGTAGCAGAAGGACACTGGGCCTCCACTCAAGTACTCCCTAAATGCAAGAACACTTTCTTCTATTAAATTGACATTCTATGATGCTCACCTTCCCGACACAACCACTGAGATCAGTCTTTCCATCACCAAAGCCACGGCCCGCTCCCTCAGGTCTCAACCACTCTAAGCCGACAACCACAAATCGGCTCTCCATTTTCAGAATGTGTTGTTTCCAGAATGTCACATAAATGGGTTCACACAGTACGTAACTGTCCTCAGCATAGTTCCTTGAACATTTATCAAGCTGTGTGTGTATCAATAATCTGTGCCTTTTCACAGCTCAGTTTTAACTATTCATCCAAGGGAGGATGTCTGATTGTTTCCAGTCTGGGGCATCAGGCCTACAGCTGCCGTAAGCATTTGTGTACAGTTCTGTGCAGCTCTGTCTTCATTTCTCTGGGCTAAGTGTCCAGGAGTCTCATTGTAAGGTCTAATTAGGGGACTAACGATCTTGACTAAGAGAGTCTGCTGGGCCCTGAGGTGCCCAGGCAACAGAGAACACATGGTGTCTTTGGAGTTATTTGTCTGGGTGTTCAGGCAGCAGGAGAGGGAGAGGTTGCTATGGAAGACTTTGTGGGGCCAACTATTTAGAAGAGGTTGAGTGGACGCCCATTTACAAAAGGGGGTATTTAATAGGAGCCACTTCACAAGCAGGGTCAGAAGCCCTGACGGGCGTGTGGACAATGAACTTGAAACTTTGACTAGTCACCGAAGACCGAACTGGCTGCTTGTGATGGGACAATAAGCAACAGATGGGTGGCGAGTCTTAAGGGAGGAGGGAGAAGAAGGGAAGATGGGTGAGTTAAGTCTGACTCTGTGGAGAGGGGCGAGTCAGAGGAATGGCCAATACTCTGCCTTTAAAAGAACTAGGCTGTTCCATCCTCAATACAGCGGACACTGGAATCCCTGGGTTCAAACACCAGCTCCGCTACTGTACTGACTGTATGACGTAAATGAGTTACATCATCTCTCTGGTGGTCAATTTTTTAATCTGTTAAACACAACCTGCCTCTTACGATTGTTGTGAGGATAAACTAGTTAAGTCTATGGAAAGTGCTTAAACCAGTCAGGCACACATAATCAAAACCCCAAGCCAAACCAAACACACTGCTGTGGGATCCAGATGACTCAACGACCATACGAGACAGGTTTCCAAGGCTGTGGATCTCTGGATCTCTTGCTCCGGGAGCAGCTGGTGGTTTCACACCACCCATCCTTTACTCAGTTCAATGACATACACATACACAAAGATGAGAAGAATAGACAAGCCACTGCAAACAGACCTGGTGGACAGTCAAGCATTTCAGAAGGTAGCACACGATCAAGAATGGATGACGGTTTTAAAGAAAGAAGCTCAAGCTGCACTGTGGAAAGCAAGGCTCCAGGAACCGAAGGGTTACCAACTGAAGACCTTTCAACAAACAGATGCAATGCAGGAAGCACTCAGTCTCCTTCACTAAGAAATCTGAAAGACAGCTATCTGGCCAACCGACAAATTCGTATTTGTGCCCATCCCAAAGAAAAGTGATCCAACAGAATACACAAATTATCGAACAATATCATTAATATCATGGGCAGGTAAAGTTTTGCTGAAGATAACTACAAAATATTTGCAGCAGTATATCGGCAGGGAGCTGCCAGAAATTCTACTTTGATTCAGAAGAGGACATGGCGGGGGAAGGATATCATTACTGATGTTAAGATATTTTGGTTAAAAGCAGAGAATATCAAGAAGTTGCTTGTATGTGCTTCATTGACCATGCAAAGGCATCCAACTGTATGGATTAGGACAGATGATGGGTAACATTGTGACTAATGGAAATAATTCTAGAACATTTCGTTGTGTTCATCTGGGTCCTGTTCAGAGAACAAGAGGTAGTCATTAACGGCAACCAGGGAACAAAGCATGGTTTTAGACCCCAAACGGTACCAGTGTGGTATCCGCTCGCCACACTTACTCTATGTGAGCGCCAAGTAAGTA